AGCTCTCATCTGCTGATAATGACTGCACAACAGTAACTTGGGGAGAACTTACACATTTATTTATTCAGAAACTAGTAACCACTGTCGCAAGAAAGGGATTCTGGCACAGTGGGATAGGCAAGGAAGCTACTGGCAAGGCAAGAGGGGTTGCTATAAAGCCTAGAAGGCAGGACCTTTTCACTTTGGAGGTACCTCTATGATTACATGGATCGTGACAGCAGGGCCTTCACTCCTGTCTCTTCTAGCTAAGGCAGCATGCTCATCAATATCGGGAAAGCACTAATTCAGTAGGCAAGCTCAGCTCATGCAGTGCTTCCTTTTTTTAAATGGTAACTGCATATGCGATCCCTCCCGCCTGCTGGCTCTGAAACAACAGGTTGGAAGGCTGCAAGCAGGATCATTCCCATCCACTCTCCTGCTGTCAGCACCAGACGGCCTCCACCCTTCCCTCCCCTGCTGCCTCTCAGCCAGACGCTTGTGCAGCTGGTACAGTGTGTGGGTAGCAGATTGTTCTGACTAGTACCTCAGCTATGCCATGCTGCCTACTACTTTTGTCATTTTTCCTCCACTGCAGTCCAGGTAAACAACACCTGGTCACCAGTTTCTCCTTCCTGCCTGCAAGGAAGAGCCACATTGTGCCACTTTTCTCCTCCAGCAACCACCTCACTACCCTTCCTAGGGATATAGCAGTTTGACTAAGGAAGCAAATACAGATGAGGTGGCTCTGATTCAAAGAGCACAATCAAGCACCTTTCAGGCAGAGATGCAAACCAAGAGCCTCTGCAGGCTATGGGACTCTAATGCTCAGCCGCTGTTTATGCGACCACTCCAACTGCTCACACGATAGACATGGAATATACACTGTACTAGTGTTGCCATAAGACCAACCAGAATCACAGGCTTGTCTTTGCTATTCTCTGCTTTCTAAGTATCTTAGGAGGTGATAAGCAGAAGTATTTAGAGCTCCCCTCGAACCCATGAAAAGTTAACTTTTGTGGCTCTCTGGCAAGCTGAACAAGAATTGGTCTCCACAGAACAAGATATTATGCTTTGGTAAGCTGGGCACAGGCTGACACAATGTCTCATATGTATCGCCAAATTACCCAGAAACAGGTAGCTGGCTAATGAGATATTCAAATTAATTTCATTAGTAATTCAGTATTGCCCACAGCTGCTAACTTCAAAACAGCTGGTCAAAAGAAAAAGGGAAGCCTTAAAATTCTAACAGTCCAGAAGACCAATGTACAACATCTCTGAAACAGGATTCTTTGTTACCACACACAAATACACACACAGATGTTACCTTCTATAAACAGTTTTTTTCTAATCTCAAATAAGAAAAAATGACTGCTTGCTTTAGAGATGATTCAGTTAAAGTATTTCAGCCCTATATATAACCTTCATCTAGCAAATTCAAATTGAAAACTCCCACTACTACTTGCCCCATAATCAAAATAGGAAATATGAATTGGTTAAAATTTATACTTCAGAGACTCCTTATGATGGGAGACATCTGTCTAAAAATGACATTTGAGAGGCTGGGAGTATTTCGCTGCCCTTCTCTGACCCACTCCCAAAAGAAATTTTCCTTTTGTCTTTATTCAGGGAGTAGGCACCTGCATTCAGTAAATGGCTGGAGAGGCTTAAGATGCTATTGCCCTCCAAGCGTTTGTTATTAATTCCCTATTGGAAATTACCACCCCATCAACAGAGTTGGCAGAGCACATAAACGTTCCTTTGTCCGCTCAAGGGGCAACAGTTCCAGCAGAGTTTAATCTAAACCATGAGATTTTCCACCAAGAGATGTTGAGATATGCTCATGTGAACTGTTTTGCTGGCTCTACTCTATCTTTGGGATCTCTGGGGGCAGACTGGGCAGGGGAAGAGAAGTAAACTGCAAAAGAAAGGATGAAGCAGTAACATCTCAAACTACTGGTGGCTCATCTGGCATGTGCCTGCAATTTCACTGTACGTTTCCATTGCCTTGCTGTGGTTACCTACACGTAAAACAAAACAAAATCATAAGCCTCCCACACTTTCAGTGTGATTGAAAAAAAGCAGGAAACAGTTTCCACACTAACTGGTAGAAGCCAGCTTAACAACACTACGCAGAACAACACTAGAATAATTCAGCCACCTACTGGACTACTGCCACAAGAGATCATTCAAGTAAATAAAAGGTTTAAAGGATCACCATGGAAGTTCACAGTAAGCATAACGCTTCCTGCATAAAAAACTTCAACAAAAAACCCTTAAACATTTCGTAATTTTTTTGTGCTGAATGTCATTGCACTTTTGTGTACTGAAATACTTATAGGTTTTGTAAAATACTGACACTTTAAAATACTGTTGATGAACTCCATTTTTGGTGAAAAGGTAAAATAATGATGAAATATTTAAACTATTTTTAACACAAATGCATCAAATCCACTTTTACAAATCATCTTTCTTTGATATTCATCATTTCCAAAAAAATTATTGCGAATTTTCCTATTAACCAAAATGACAACCTTTGGAAATACAGGTGAGCAATACAGAAAGATCTATAAAACTGAAAAAAAATTCTTTGCATGTCCATCATACTGTACTTGTTCACATAAAAAAAAAAAAAAAGGATACGATTTCTTAATCTGCTTCATAGTACTCTTTCTTGAGCCTTTTCCTTTTCTACTGATATCAATACAGTTGAACCTTGCCTTGAAAACAACGCCCAAACAGTCCCCAGCCTATTGGCCGAGCCCAGCCACAGGACTTAGACACAGATGAAATGAAGCCATAGCCATAACGTGAACTTCATACAGTTAAACCTCTTTGGACAGGGCATTTACATTTTTGAGGAAGGCCTGCTCCTTTGTACAGACAATGTTCAAAAAGATCCAAAGTCATAGGAGGAATTACGATAAACAACAAAGAAAAGAGTAACAGGGTAACAGATCTTAAATTAATTGGCACAGAGCACAGAAAGGCAGCTTCTCTAATTATTCATTTTTCCTTCCTCCCCTCCCCTTTATTTATAAAAATCTCCTGTGTTCTTTCAATAAGCTAAAGGCTGTAAGCAAAGTGCTGCCATTTCTTTGTAATAAACAAGTAACGGCTTCTATTTGAGCCAATTTAAAATCTGCCTATAAATGACTTCACTAATTCATGAAAGTACAATAGTACTTTCAAGTTATGGGAAGAACACCCATGAAGAGGAAAAACTGCCTGATACAGAACTAAAAGTGAAAAACTAAACAACAAACTTGGATAAGAAGTTTGGTATCTGAGCTGCATACCTAGTTTTACTGCGTGTTTGACAATTTACCTGACTTGCTAAAAGCAGAAAAAGTAACAAAACAATGAAATTAAGTGAACATGATAAATACATGTATGATGAAGTCCTAGCAAGGTTGGTCAGGTGAGAAATCTTGGAAGGGATTTTTGCTGTTTAATTTAGTGAATTCTTATGGTAGTAGCCTTCAGAAATGAAAAATCTGACTGACTTGGACACCCAAGTCATCCATTTTAGTTTTTACAAGCAAAAAGGGAAAAGGGGGGGGGGAAAAGGGTGGTCCTCGGGGCCAATTACACACAGAATGCAAAAAGCTCACAACATTCTCTTTTTGATAAGGTTTGTGGGTTAAGTGTTGGCATTTTTTGCCTCTTTATGGACCATCAGTGCTAAGAAAAAGATGCATTAAATACTTTTACTGAAATACATATTCCTGTTGCTTCCTTAATAAAAGGTAAAAGGCTGTGAATAAATCTTAAAATAGATTCTGATATAGATGTACCCATTGTCAATTTGATATCAAATAGCCAGCCATGAAAACTAATGTCTCCCAAGTTACAGATTTTTTTTTCTGCTTCACAGAAAATCATTCTGAAGGATATAGAGCCAAAACGTTTAGAAGTTATCCTCAGGTCCCTTAATTTTTTTTTTTTTTAAATAAATTATGTCAATTAATTTAGCATTCAAAATCTTCACACAGAGAAAAAATAAGAAAGCAATTGTAAAACACAAGCTAATATATTCAAAGCAGTAGTCATTTCAGGTTTATATAAGCTAAACTTAAGCCTCTCTGCTATCCTACTTTCCCTTTATTATTATTTTTAAACTTTCTTTGACTACTGTATAATACTGAAGGCACGCATGCAAAGCGCCATACAATTAGTCCCTCACTGTGTAAACAGAAGCACTTTGATTACAGTTAACATTCCATGTCTTTCTGGAATAGTACTATAAGTCAGACCTGCCTCCAGTTGTTTTATATACTCACAGCCTACTTATACACCCCAACTTGTCCTGCTTTAAAATAGATATTCATATAGCTTTTGTCTTTTTAAATAATGATTATAACATTACATGCACATTCATTAATAGTTTACTACAGCCAAACTGATTTTAAAAAGGGGGGAAGGGGTTAAAAATGAGCCTACATATGGATTCAGACCTATTTCTTCCTGATGCTTACTGTAGCAATGAAAACACTTTTTTTGTTGCCACGCCAACATCAACAATGAGGAAAGATACTGGAAAGAGTCCCTAAACATATATCTCATTTTTCTTTCATTGTTCATCCTTAAACTATGTGGTGAAATAAACTATCTAGGATGCAATGTGAAACTGCAATTCTGAATTATCTTTGCAAAAAAAGAATCCCGTTCTTGATAATTTGTCTCACAAGACTAACTCCTTTCAAAAATATCTGATTACTAATTCTACTATATGCTGGCTGTAGTTTAAAAACTACTTGAAAAATATAGACATCTCCATTCTATATGCTTCAACAAAATATTTCAGTTGGGGTTTCTAAGTCAGGTTTGCAACCTGCCATCAAAGGTGAAGCTGATCAGGGCAGATTTCATAACATGGTAGCACTTTGACTCTACTTTATTAACACGGGGAAAGAACAAATGAAGAGAGTCAGTAATGTATTTGAATACAGCAAGCATCATTATTCCCACAGAAAACATTTAAGCAATGCAGAGAAAAGGAGAACAATCACTTCTGCACTCACCGTTCTTCCGTTCATTGAGAGGGGGTAAATACTGACTGGGCTGCAATGAGAGTTCCTGAAACTCATGTGCAACTGCTTCGCTATGAGGACTAGGAGCAAGACGTGTTAGCGATCCAGAATCATCCTCAGCATCTGCTGTCCCTAAGTGATCCATTGCGTTAAGTTGTCCAGAGACAGGGAGAGCAAGCGGTCTCTTAATCACACTACAGTTGATAAAGCTAATAAAGAAAAAAAGAAATATCATGTAAACATGTTACTGCTGTTTTTTTTGTTCAGTCCCCTTGCCCATAAAATTCAACTTTGAAATGACATATACATTATCCACTGATTTTCCACAAATATTACAGGTTTACAAAATTACAGCTAAACAATGTTGTTACAAGTAATTTGAATGGTCACCTGGTTCTGAGAAGCAGAACTATGTTTCTGTTTTGATGGAAAGGTTACAGTGCTAACTCTCAGTATGGATGTTCCTGGAAGTTCTTGTGTCCTGCTTTCCAGCAAGTACACAGTTTATCAGTGAAACTAATTCTCTTTTTTCAGTAGCTTACATTAGAGTATGCTGAAATAATTAATTTATATATCATAATATAGAGATTGCTTTTAATTTGTTGACAAACTGCAAAACTTTCCTTAGGATCAAAACTCAACTTGGTATTAATACAGAAGTTCATACCCCCAACGTACTATATAAGAATTAGGTAATCTTTAATTGCTCTAACAAATAAGGCTTATTAGCATAAAAATTTACCGATTCATTTTATTGCATACTAGTCACTCATTGTACAATACTCTACAGATTAGTGTAAAAGTCTTAATTCATTATTAATTTCCTTTCTGTCATTAATGTGGTACTAAATTTCCAGTGGGGAGAGAGAGAAGTATGAGTTACTGGGTCAGGCTTTTTATAGCTACACACAACTCTATCAACGTCACTAAAATTTCAATAGCTTAATGGTCCCTCCCTAGACTTTTGGAAATACTTTAGCCACTGTCCCAAGGATGTATATTTTATACAACTACTCAATACAATAATTCTCATTATTCGCAATATATTTGCTTTTTATCACAAAAATGAAGCTTTGAAAAATAAGCCAATAAACTAATGATTTTAATATGTAGCCTCAGTGAATAAATCCCACTTACCACTGAACAAACTCTCATGCTCACTTTTTATAAACCTAATATTTGAAAAGAGAGGGCATCAAGGAGAGTACATTTTCCTTATTGAGCAACTGACTTACTGACCATGCCCCATACAATTCTTGACCTCTCTGTTTAGTCTTCAGTTGTGGCAGTGAACTGACAAGAACAAGGACTCACGCTGAACCTATTGACTGGTGAAATATAGGCACGGAGAGAGACTGTCATGACTCTGCTTAAATAATCCACGTTCCAGCAAGCAAATTCTGTTCCTGCCCTCAAGTCTGTCATCTCTGTTAAACTTTGCTATCCATAAAACTCCTGAATATGCTGTTAGACCCTCCCATCATAGTTTTACTACCACCACAGATCAAATGATACCGCCACCTGAGGAAGACCACCCATCTGTGGGGACACCCATAGAGTTCTATGGGTGTACCTGATGTCTCTTGGCCTGACCTACGGCTGACCCCGCCTGGGCATACCTGTTGGCTGACGGTTTCCTGCCTAGCGACTGGACGGTCATTGGAGGAAACAGCCGGCTGCCAAATCCCATGTGAGCAGAGCAAGTGGCAAATATCCGTCAAGGAACATTCGAGAACATGCCAGAATCTTCCTGAACCTGCCAGAGCCACCATGTAATAAGTATGACCACACCCCCAATTCGATCACGGCTATAAATAACCGCCATGGGCTTCCGAACCTGGAGGTCGCCTCATCGGACACATATGAATATATGTAAATAGTTGATATATGTAAATAGTTTGAAAAATATATTTACCAGTTAATGACTTTGTTATCAAATCCATTCATTACTAGTAGGAACAAACGCCTATACTGACATCTCTTACGGTTATCTCTTACGGTTCAATAAACTGTTGAATATGCCTTTGAACTGGTTTGGCACTCAGTCCTTCTGTGACACTATCCAGCCACTTGTTCTCATCAGTGCAGTACCTCTCACACCAGCATGACTTTCTCTGGCCAAGTTAAACCAAATCAGAAGCCTGATCTGGACTAAAACTATCCTTGCTTTTTGCCAAATTGTTCCTACCCCAGTGTAGACCCCTAATCTGAGTCAGCACGTGGCCTCACGAACACTTTTGCAGATTTGAGGGAGAGGATGGTACAAAGGATAGGACAGGATAGTCACAACTGCTTCTTTTAACAGCTACACTTGCTTGAAGCGACTATAAACCTGGAGCCTTAGTTCCCTGTTTGCCCCTTACAGCTTTTTTCTGTCCTATTGCCTTTCAGTTCCTATAGTATCTTCATAATCTCCTGTCATCAGCTAATAGGAAGTATGGGGTGTTTGACTTCCTCTCCCTTTTCATGTATCAGGTCCAAAACTGTGTCTTGTAGTACTATGAAACAGTGATTTCAACAGCTTTACAGTTCTAGCAGGAACTAGCAGAAATGCAACTACACCTTTTTAAGACTATTGGAAGTCTTCAGTTTTTTAAAATGCAATTCCTTTGGAACCTTAAAGTAGCAAAAACCCAACAACAAAAAAAGTAAGCTACTAAAGATTCTGACCAACTTCACTGAATTAATTACTCAGTGAGGTTCAGAGGTAGTATTCCATTTGAAACTTCATGGTGTTGGGTCCACAACAATCATTTAAAAATTACACGGATTTAAAATAATTAAGACCAACAAGAACAATCTCTCTCTCCTCCCCACTCAACTGAACATGCCCTTGAAGTGCTAGTTAGCATGGTACTGTGAAACCTGAAAAATGTCAAGAATCTAAGATATGGATGGAAAGTAAGAACCAATACACCAACACAAGCGTAGGCTTGTGAGAAAAAACAAAATTCATAGATGGAGTGAAACAAGGGAAGACTAAAAATTTTCAAATGAATCTTAACACAAGATGTGAGGTGATCAAGAAGTTTTAAATAATCCACATCCTACAAGTCTTTCCAGTTTCTGAAAGCATTCACAAATTCCTGTTACTGAAAGGTACCTCCACAGACTGCTCTTAATTATTTCAAATCCCTTATCAGCTAACAAAGAAAGGCCTTAAGAGAAACACTTATACACTACTGCTTAAAACTATAATCATTCTTCTAGCAGTGTTCACCAGGAAAAATGCAGTCAGGACTAGAGTGAAACATGTCAACTAGAACTATTTAGCAATTCCTTTTCAAATAACTTGATCTTTTCTCACTAAATTAGCAGCATATTTCCCGAATAAATTAAAATGTTTCACACTTGTTAAACAACTGAATCGGTATCTGGAGGAGAGAGGTAACAACATAAGAATTATTAGATTCTGTCAATACACCATTTGCAAAACTTTCTATTACCAGCATCTCTGAAGCTGAATTTGTTAGTCACCTTCTCTGTGCGCATAATGCGCAAAGCTGGCTAAATTCACCCATGACTACCATGATTCATCTTTCAACATCAAAGAATTCTCCCCCTTCAGAGGTTAGGCAAAAAAGCATCTCTTTTCAAAGAGAAATAGCACATTGAATAGAATAGGTTTTCCAATGGATCGTTCCAACTTACTGCAACAGAAATAGGTTTAAAAAAAAAATAATCTAAGCTTCATAAGAAAACATGGCTGGAATGTATAGTACAATGAAAACCCTGTCGAAAAAACACCAAAAACCTAATTTCATTTTTAAAAATTTTAAAGTTTTGGGGCTTTTTTTTACATTACCTGGTATAAGCCCAGACTCCCAATCAAAACAGTTCTAATTTTTAAAACTCTGGAATATAGCCAATATTTTTTAATACTCAGTTCATAATCCTTCCCCCCAAAACCATAAGTGACTTCTATTTCATAAGGTTAAAAAATAAGAGCACAACGGGATGTATAAACACCTAACCCCCCCTCCAAGAACCTAGCAGATGTCATTTTAGAATATCAATTTCATACAAGTCAAACATTCTCAGAAACGAGAATTCCCTTGCCTATTTTTGGCATTGTAAGTTAACACATTGAAATGTTCACTTTTTCCTGAAAAACTGTAATGTTTGAAGTGAAAAAACAGGCACTACTGAAACAATGAACGCACATACTTAAAATCTTCCACGATACTATGTGGATCAATACTTGATATCAGTACTCTGATGTTGGCATGTACTTCTTATAATTTATGCTCAATCATTCTTCAAAGAGCTATCACTAGGAACAAATTAAAGTGGTTTTAATTAGACATTTTGGCTATTAGGAGAAAAGTCAAGACATACTGATTTGTGAGATAATTTATTCTCCAGTGGTAAAAGTAACTATTTCTCAACTAAGGATAATACTGACTATTCAGAATCCTGCTCTATTACAGAAAATGAATGATTACCAAGCCTGCCCCCCCCCAAAACAGAAAAACCCCAACAACAACCAAAAAACCCCAAACTTGCTTCAATCTCTTTTAAAGAACTGCCTATTAATCCTTCCAAGCTGTATTAGTAAGATTTCTATGACAGAATAGTAATATATCTATTTTTACCTTTGTTGTTGTTGTTGTTAATGCTCTTCAGCCTTATAACTGCAAATACGCGTTAATGTAACAAATGCATAGTGAACAATATAACATTTAAGCCAAAGTAATGACTGTTAAGAAATAACTTCAGCAGAACAGTTATGATGGTAAGGGCATACTTCTTATTTTCCATAGTTACCAATTGATACTTTCACATTAAATGAAGAAACATTAACTTAGTGTCATGCAAGAATTTTCTTCTTTGTTCTTAGCTTTTAGAAGCATAATTTACTCAGCTTTCATACGATTTCCTGACATTAAACTCCCACACACCCATACAAATTAAGTACATTATTAACCAAGTAAGTCTCTTCAGAACAGAATTCAAGTGAAAATTTAGCTGCTTATGTGCTAATTTTCACAGCATTTTATCCACAATTTATTGGCTATGAGTTATGCCTTGGAGTCACTTTTCAAAGAAATTAAACCACATTAGCTGTACTCACGCAATTAAATCCACAAGAGATTAATAGAAACACCTTCTTGTATGAAAGTTTTAACATCTATTACGCTGCATGTTAGCTTTTGATTAACTCTCTTCCCCATGATGGATAACTAAAGAGAGTATTTTAAATTAAGCC